CAAGTCTTATTGTCGATACAGCTTCATTTCATCTCTATTTCACAATCTACTTCATTTTGTTAATTATTTTGAATTATTACATTAATATATTAAGCTCATGGAGACAATGTCCAGTTGGATACCTGTGTGTTTCATGAATCTGTCAAAGTGGACAATGTGGACACAACTGCACTCAGTGTACTGACTTTCTGTAGTCAAATAGGTGAGGTATATTAATGTCTAAAACAGCTGAGCTGACAATTTGACACACCCGGTATACTAACGATTAGTTCTCAGGACAGATGAGTTAATGTTAAATTTCGAATTTAATATCTGTAACATCAATGTGTTGAATACCAGAAATATGTCAAAGTTCTGCAGATTCGTGCGATTCATAGTTTCAGCATCTCGAACTTACAGACACTTTGAGGTTTTTTGATAGTTTTGTTGTACATGTGCTTTAGATTTTGAGATTTCATTGACTAATTAAACATACTGACTGGTCACATGACATAATTCTTCCTTATCACAGGACACAAAAACAGCCCAGTAAATAGTTTAATGGTAAAAAAATCCACGTAAAATATTTTCTATAGTGATACTCCAAAGCAAGTTGAGAGATTTGATTACTTTGTCAATTTAGATACCTGTCTCTCCTAATCAGGAGGTCCGGTTTCGTTTCTCGTTAACCTAAGACGTAAACATAGGTACTGACTGTTCCTTAGTCAAGCGCTCGGCATTAGATGTGAATGTCACAGATCTTTCGGATATGACTTTAAAAATGTAGGTCCCGTGTCCCGGTAGGCGCTGGCACGATAAAGATCCCTCACTGCTCAGTGGCCCTGCGAGTGCCGGGTAAAGGTCTTGATTTAAAGCCCTTCGCCAGCATACGGTGACGTCTCTATATGAATGAAAAATTCTCGAATGGGACTTAATATAAAAATATTCCATACTTCCTTTCTAAAAAAAGAGAGAGAAGAAAAACTGATTTAAGGATTAAAGTTTGAAATATTTTTATGAAATAAATTTATTATTGAAATTAAAACACAGGACATTAACACAATTATGGTCTGCATAAATATTTATTCAAATTTCTAAATGTCAAATATATTTTATTGGCTATAAAACACCAATGACCTTCACTTAAGATATTTGATTTTCTTCACTAGTTTAAGTTCAATTTGAGCAACAAACAGATTGTCATTTGTATCTGTACATAGTCCATAAGGTTCACAGAGTCCACATTCTATGTAACGGAGGAATTGTCCATCTTGGTCTATGATGTGGACACAGTCATTGTTATTATCAGCTGTAAGGATGTGACTCAGGCTATCTGTAGTGATTCCTAGTGGATAAAATGATTTTTTCTTTGGAGCAGGAGTATTTCCAATGTACCTGAATCTCAGTTTCCCGGCCTGATTGACAACGATCACTGCTTCAGCTTTACTGTCAGACACACAGATATCCTGGTTCTTGTTCTCGGTAATATATTTGTAATAAGGACCAGATGAATAGAGAGGTTTACCTATCTCATCAAACTGAATTTTTTCCATCTCTGTGGAGCCAGAGTAACGGACAACGTTTGTTTGTTTGTCATCATCACTGTCCATGATAACTAGGAGGTCACCGGAGGAGGTACTACAGACACCGTTAGGTTTCCAGTTCTGTAATCTGATCACCTCCTCTATCTTCTCATTCTCCACATTGTTCACAGTTTTGTCAAGGTAATCAGTATAAATAAGATCTCCACATTTTGTAACTATAATGTTATTCGGTGAATTCCCTGACTTGGTTGTGATTGACTTGAGTAGTGATCCCCTATTAATGCTAAAGAGTTTTATGGTGATGTCATCTCCACTTGTCCAGATTTCTTCATCATTTAGACAGGTCACACTGTCAAGGTATGGAATCCCAGTGTATATGGTGGTGACAGTCTCTGGTTCATCAAGCAGCTGTTTGATTGGAGATTTTTGATGTGTTATCCTCATGTTGTAGCAACTCTTCACAAGAGATGGGACAGTTAATGATGAAGCTCCAAATAGCTTGCGAAATTGCTCACCATGTATTCTTCCTGGGGTAAATGTAGGTGAAGAGAGAACAATTTTATGTGGTAGCTGTTTATACTTATCTACATTGAATCTAATGCTAAATACTTTGGATGTACCAGCTTTATCAATTGAATCCATTTCTTCTTTGATTTCAAAAATGTTCTTGTTTATTTCATCCAGATGTTTCTGTAGAGTTTTTAATTGTGTATTTTTCATCTCGTCAACTTCAACTTTAAGTTTCTTGACAAGTTTGTCAATTTCTCTGTGCCAGTCCTCTCCATGTTTTGTTATGACTGTTGAGAGATCTCCATATTCCTTTTCTAACCAACTTATTCTGTTTTGTACATCGGAGGCAATGTCCTGGTAGGTTGGATAAATGACTTCGTTTAATTCAATATAATCTTTGCTTAGTTTTTCTTTTCCTTCGTTCAGAACTTCCAATATTTCTGATAATTTATGACCTAGATGTTGATCAGATGCAATACACTTGGTGCATACAGGAATGTTACAATGCTTACAGTACATTTCACATCGCCTTTTTTCATGAACTATACACTCAGGGCAAACAGGAGTTACTTGTCTGACCTTGAAGTCAACAATTTTATGAGGTTTTGAAAAATCAGCAGAAAAATGTTCTCCCACACAGGCCTTACACAGGTTCACAAGACATATTTCACAGAGCATCTGTACCACAGCGGTCTCACACAGGTCACATCGCATCACGTCCTGGGCACTGGTACGGGGGTCCATAATTAAAGTCGTGTCTTTGAAATAAAAAGTAAGTTTAGCTCTAATTGTATTATAGGTACAAAAAAATAACTTTGCAACATGTTGAACTATTACATGTATCTTATTTTAATTTCACTATCTGATAGGAGAACCCAGATTACTTTAAGTCCAGGTTTTAAAAAAGTGGAATGACCCCTTCTTTAAAAATTTGCGTAACATGATCAGTTTTGGTTCGAAAAATTATCTTCTGAAAGACTTTAAGATACAAAGTGGGGAGGGGGGGGGGGGTAAAGATGGAATGAACATACTGTTTTCTTAAAACAGCGTTATCAGAGACAACTGATTCCCATAATAAAGAAAATGTTCAGCAGAACTGTGATTTATTGAAAAGAGGATCAAATTATTTCCGTATATCAATCATGCAAATAATGGTCAGTTTATTTATAGTTAAACAGTTTTTTGTATTATCTTTGGCTTTTTATTCTATTTTATTTTTTTTAAGTTGCATACGAACGACTCAAAAAAAATATTTAAACAATTTATATTGAAGTGAGTTATTAAGATGAAATTTTCAAGGAAATAGCATACTAACTTACCCTTATGAGGTTTTACAAGATGATGTTAATTTTTATAACCTGACTTCTGATCGTAATGTGGCATGTGTTGTATCGTTCCTCTTGATTAAAGCTACTTGCTAATTGTGTCTCGATCTGTACACATGGTAGAGTCTAGTTTATCTTTTTGTGTATACATTCTACATCAGGTGATCCCCTTTACCTGCTGATACCAGTACAAATTTTTACTTACTCGTCAAGGGATTTTCTTACTGTTATTACCTTGTCACAATTTTCATTCTTTTATTTATTTATGGAAATAGCAAATTATCATTTTCATATCATTAATTTCTTATCGTTGGCATTTTTCTCACTTCCGATTGACATGATACATGTACATGAAATAACATCTTCTTTTTAATCAATTGTTCATGATAGCTAGAGAAACACATTTTTTTAACATAGTACATCTATCAGTTTAGATTAAAAAAAACATGTTACATTTTAAATTACTTTGTACAATTATAAATACATGTATCACATAAATGCCACTAATTTTCATGATTGTTCATGACCATTTATACAATTTTTTGGTAACTTGTGTACATTTTATTATGCATTGGGTCCTAATTCATAAGATATCATTTATGAATGTTATTCATATTCTAAATTATATCATGTTCATAGATTGATTTAAAACTGATCAATCGCGAATAAAAAATGACGCGAAAAATAGTTGGTTTACTGGGAGAAAACTGATTCTTAAAATATGTTCATGAAATAATATTTTTAATTTAAAAAAAAAAAAACATTTAGGACCAATGCAAAGGTAAGACAAATGTGTAATCTGAAAAATGTTCATTCAGAAGAATTTAAAATGTCAACACTATTGTATCGTCTATAGTATACTGATGGATATCACTGCAGATATTTGATTTTCTTCACTTCTCTCTTTCCATACTGAGCAATAAACAAATTGTTATTTGTATCCGTACACAGTCCCCAGGGTTCAGTCAATGTACAGACTACGTAAGGGAGGAACTGTCCATCCTGGTCTATTGATCTATGATGTGGACACAGTCATTGTAATAATCAGCTATAAGGATGTGACTCTGAGTGGTTGTGGTGATTCCTTGTGGATTAAATGCTTTGTTGATTGGAGAAAGAGTATGTCAAGTGCACATATGTACCTGAATCTCAGTTTCCCGGCCTGATGACCACCATTACTGCTTTAACTCCACTGGCAGTTAAATAGATATCTTGGTTCGTATTCTCAGTGATATATTTTTTTTAACTTTTAACTTTAATCATGCAATTAGAAGTCCATTTTTACTGGAAGTTAAAATGGCACTTCAGCGTAACATTGGAGAAGTCAGATTTGCACTATAGTACAGACTAATATGAATTCGAAATAGCAAACCGTTATAATACAAAATTTTAAAGAATTTTTAGAATGTAAGTATTACCTACATGTAGTTGATTTGTAAAAGCAATGGCAGCCGTCCTATTGATCGCCATACAAAGTTTGCCGAGGTTTATTCTGATCATGTGACACACATACAAGGTAACTATTGTTTAAAGTGCTGGATATTTTACTTCCTTGTTTATGTGCAATGTGGATTTAAATTTGTCAGAGTTTTTTTGCTAACATTTTGTTCATCCACCAAACGGAATCTTAACGACGTTCGATCCTGATATTTAAAGTCTTAAACTTTTTTGCCAAGTATATTTTTAGTGTCTATATACATAGCTTAATTGAAATTAAAATCCAAAAATGGGGGTCAATGCGCTTCTTTTGGCGCTACAGTACATTTAATATGACTTTTTTGCACTGAAATTTGTGTCATTTCCCTCCAATTTTTTTATCGATTTAAAGCATGAAACAAATGAACTCTAAGTTTGTTTTGAAAAAGACACTTAAATATTGTGACTAAGAAAAAGTTTCAAATTGCTTAGCATAATCAATTATTTGACCTTTCTGCACTAATAAAAAGTGATTTTTCTGGCATTGAAAATTTAATAAGCAAAAAAATAATTTTGAAGTTTTAAACTTTTTCTGATTTTAAGCAAATAGGTCAAAATTATCTTGAATATTTAGTAAAAAACATCAAAAGTTTGGGTATATGATGCAAATTTTCCGATATTACTAATAAAGTGTCAATTTTAAGTTAAAATCGGCTCGATTTTTTCCCGGATTTTCAGAATATATTTACTATATTTGTCACACTTCGTTGATAGAATTCATAAGGAATAATTTAAGAGATATTTCAGAACCAGCATAACACATTTCACTGCAAAAAACAGATTTGTGTTCAACCAGAATGGAAAAATAGGAATCCAAAATTAACAGTACTGTTATAGTTCAAAATGGAAAAACTGATCATTTTCGTCTAAAAAACCTTCCGGCACAAAATATAGTCCCTAGCTTAATTCTACTTGAATGGAATTTAATCGCGTTTTTTTTCATTGAATATAGTTAAATTTGCACTGTAGAATTTAGATTTGAGGGGACAGACAGTCAACAGGTCGTCATTTAGAATAGGTACTTGAATGCAGGGAAGTGCAAAGATGTGAAATAATTATGCTGAAAGTGGTGATAGCTAGGTAGACCGAATGAGAACGATTCTATAGGGTAAGTGAACGAGACACCATTAAAAGTTACTATAATTCCTTGCAAAAATGTTTTATGACAGTTCGCTTCCAATAAAGTAAATTAAAGAATAGAAACAAACAACCAGTCTCTTGATCATAATGAATATTTATTAGATTTTAAGGGAAGTAACTCAAAATTAAAGAACAGTGCTGGTATTTCTGTGTTTTGTTTCAATATTTGCATTTTCAGACAAAGTATATGCATGTCATCGGAAATAAGGTTTCAACAATGTATTTTATGTACAAACATTATGAAATGAATGGTTTTTGGAGAAAACATATGGTTGAAAATAATATAGGCCCATTTTATCAACATTTTACATAGAAAATGCATTGAAAATTGTAAATTTAAAACATTGATTTGACAAAATCTGTAAAGTAAGGCTGGCTTGATGGGTAAAAAGGACCTGAATTGAACATGTTTGGTACCATTAAACCTGTTCAAAAAAATCTTGAAAAATTCTATACGAAAGCCAAAAACGTTGCCAATGTCCTTAACTTCAGAGATGAAGTTTGAAGAATTGGTGCAGGTAAAATCACATAACTCGGAGAATTCATGCACAGAATTCAGAGACATTTTTGTGAGCATTTCAATTAGTCAATGTCTGATTTTAAGAACCTGAGGATCGGAGTACTAGTTACTTAAACGAGACTGCTGATATTTTTGTTTCATCAAACTGTTTGTCAATTTTTTACCTCGTTTTAGAAAATGTACACACGCAGAGCACGCTCTTGCGTAACAAATCAATTGAGATATATAAACTCCGTAAGCAGGCGATGAAGGTAGTACCGCTGCATAAGCATCCTTAAGTTGACGATTGGAAAGATCAAGTCATCACGTTTATCACAGAGCTTGGCCACTAGACCATCATCAACGTTTCCCTCAAGCAAAACATCCAAATACAAAACTGATATGCCAGACCAATGGCATCTCCCATCCCGAGTCCCCCGGGACACAACGCACCGACACAAGAACGAAAACAACCACCGTCAACCGACAACATGCCTTCTCTTCAAACGCCGAAGCTGGGTTAATGACTGACAATTCAGACACAACCAGTGTACTGAGTATTTTGCCTGAAATAGGAGATGTGAGTTATTGTCACAGATGGCTCCTATGACAATTTAGACATACCCAGTTTACTGACAAGATCAGTGAACGTATTGGCCTGCCTATCATGATGATTAAGACCTCTTTTGCTTTATGTATTTTTTACCTTTCATAGGCGTCGGAACCGGGGGGGGGGGGGGGGCGTAGGAATATATACATAATATAGGCATTGAAAATTAGAGTTTACCTTTTTGTTGGTTTAGCCCCCCCCCCTTCATTTCACTTCCGATGCCTATGTCCTTCTACTTACAGTTTACATTGATGTCCTACTCTGTCAGCGGAGAAAGCTACATTACCTCCCCTTTCCATGTTGTCTCCTCAGTCCAGCCACTAGAACACAGCAGGTCATACAAGAGTTTTACTTGTGTTTTAACAATTTCTTTTTTATAAAAAGAGCTTTTAAATCATTTTGAGTCTGTTACTACATGTATAATGAGTACTACAGTCCTATACTTGTATTCTGTTTTCTATGAAGCATCACACATAGAAGTACTATAGAAGCAGAATTTTTCGTGGAGATAAATTTTCATTACTCTTGCAAGAAAGTTTTCTTTTGGCTTATAATTTTTTTCTGTTTTGAAATAAACCTATTCAACATAAAATTCATATGAAATTATATGAGTTATTTAATTCCGTGAATAATTGTTTACAGTGAAAACGAATTTTAATCCCCCAAGAATATTCCTGCATTTTACAATAAAAAATACTAATAACTTTGTTTTGCTATCAACCATATAAACTTAATTTTCATTCAGTTTTATTCAAAATTGCACAAAGTCTTGTATCATAGATCACCGGTGTCAGAATACACAGCATTTTGACATCCTAAATTGTTTATTTTTTCTGTTTTATTTCAGGGATGTGATGGTTTGTCTGAGGATAAAGAACATGTTACCTGTCACCTTTGTCAACCTTAGACTGAAGTTTGGGGTGCTGAACTCGGTGTCCAAAATTTACCCCCACAATAAAGATGTGTTTGCTCTCACAGAATGTAAAATAATGAAATATTTATAATATTTAGAATATAAATATATAGAGGGTTTATTTAATTATTCTCATGCTACAAAGAGGAAAGCAATATGACTGGCATTTATATTTAATTCTGTATTTAAATTGTATAAATAGTAGTTCTACTAATTTTTAATTCCACTTTAGCATTTCCCAGCTCTAAATAGCAGTGAGCAAACAGCCACACTGGAAAAGACAGACAGTGCCATTGTATGCAAATTATTATCCCTGGCTCCTTACACTGACTCTGGACAGATAAACTATAGCTACAGCCTCATATCCAGTCCACACCGGTACTGACCAGACTAAACAGGCAGCCAAAACAGGATATTACATCACGAGTTATGAATGTAGTTAAAATACTTAACAATGTCATATATTAAATTAGATTCAATTAAAGTCAGGGTAAAAAGGTCATCATTGTCACATTTTCATATGCATATAAAGCTGTAAATATTTTTGATGTCCATAATTTGCTATGTTCTCTTGAACTTTATACATACATGAATATGCATATCAATCAATAATCATTGTAATTGTGGATGTGTTTTGCAATGACTAGTATGTTATTTGATATTTGCGAGAGATGATGTACTAAATAGTTAAAACTGTAATGACAGTTTTTCAGAAGTTTACTAAAAGAGTTGAAATGTTCAGAATAGATGCAACAATGTAGCCCTCTCCTTTTTTGGGTAAGGTCTACAACCCTTAGGATCTCCATAATGTGGCAATTGCGGGAGTGATTCACAATTTTCGGCTCAAACTAACAGTAAATACATATTCTTTTAACATTTCTTTATTTTTTTAATTTTAAAACTATAACACATTAATAATCTGCATAAATATTTTTTTTGCAGATTTTTAATGTCAAATTTTTTTATCGCCTATATCCCACCGATTGATTTCACTGCAGATATTTGATTTTCTTCACTTGTTCAGTTTCACATTGAGCAACAAACAGATTGTCATCTGTATCTGTACACAGTCCATTTGGTTCACTCAGTCCACAGTCTATATAACGATGGAACTGTCCATCCTGGTCTATGATGTGGACACAGTCATTGTCAAAATCAGCTGTAAGGATGTGACTCTGGCTGTCTGTGGTGATTCCTCGTGGACTGAATGGTTGGTTCTTTGGAGCAGGAGTATGTCCAGCGTACCTGAATCTCAGTTTCCCTGCCTGACTGACCACCACTACTGCTCTATTTTTATCATCTGACACACAGATATCCTTATTCCTGTTCTCAGTAACATATCTGTAAAAAGGACCAGGTGAATAAAGAGGTTTACCTTTATCATCAAACTGAATGGTTTGTTTCTCCTTTAAGCCAAAGTAACGGACAACTCTTGCTTGTGTGTCATCAATACTGTTCATGATAACCAGGAGCTCACCAGAAGAGGTACTGCAAACACTGTCAGGTTTCCAGTCTCGTAATCTGATCACCTCTATCTTTTCTTTCCCCACAATGTTCACAGTTCGATCACTGTTGTCAGTATAAACTAGACCTCCATTTTTTGTCACTGCTATATCATATGGTACATTACCTGACTTGGTTGTGATTGACTTGAGTAATGATCTCTGATTGATACTGAATAGTTTCATAGTTTTGTCTTCTCCACTTGTCCAGATTTCGTTATCACCCAAATAGGCCACATTGTATAGGTCTGTATACCCAGTATCTATGGTGATGACGGTTTCTGGCTGATCAAGCAGTTGTTTGACTGGAGGAGAGAATCCAGCTTCTGTTGATTTGTGATGTGTTTCCTTCATACTGGTGCATTTCCTGTCTGATAATGGTGAAGTAAATGATAAAGCTCCAAACAACTTAGTTAGTTGCTCTCCATGGATTCTTCCTTGAGTAAATGTTGGTGAGGAGAGAACAATTTTATGTGGTAGATGTTTATATTTATCAACATTAAATGTAGTGCTTAATAGTTTGGAAACATCTTGAGAAGTAACAGCTATATCAATGACATTGATTTCTTTTTTGATTTCAAAGATTTTCTCGTTTATTTCATCCAGATTTTCCTGTAGAAGTTGTAACTGTGTATTTTTCATCTCATCAACTTCAGCTTCTTGACAAGTATGTCAATTTCTCTATGCCAGTTTTCTCCATGTTTTGTTATGGCTGTTGAGAGATCCCCATATTCCTTTTCTAACTGACTCATTCTGTTTTGTACATCAGAGGCAAAATCCTGGTAGATTGGATAAATTGTCTCATTTAATTCAATATGATCTTTGCTTAGTTTGCCTTTTCTTTCATCTAGAACTTCCAATATTTCTGATAATTTATGACCTAAATGTTGATCAGATGCAATGCACTTGGTACAAACAGGAATGTTACAATGTTTACAATACATTTTACATCGCCCTTTATCATGAGATGTACACCCAGGGTAAAGAGGAGTGGAATTTCTATCCCTGAAATCAACAATTTTATGAGGTTTTGAGAGATCAGCAGAGAAGTGCTCTCCAACACAGGCCTTACAAAGGTTGACAAGACATGTATCACAGTGCATCTGTACCACAGCGGTCTCACACATGTCACATCGCATCACATCCTGGCAACTGGTACGGGGGTCCATAATCAAACTTTCACAACTGAAATATATAGATACTATTGCACTTAAAGTTATTTGGTGAAAAGATTTGCTAAAACCAATTGAATTATGTAACATATAAAACTCAGTTTTTACTTAATTAAATAACAGATTTTTCGGATTGCTTAAAATTCATTCTAAAATCAGGACATGGTTAAATAATGCACTGTATTTATAAATGACTTGTAAGGCATGATCAACCTAGGTTTCAAAATTGTTTCATTTGGAAAGCAGAGTGGCAATTGCCGTGGGGGAGTTTAATCTTACTGCGTCACTAGAAAGACAAAAGTTCCATTTGGTAGGGTAAAAAAATGAAACTGGTAATTAAAATGATGTCTTTATTTGGATCATGCAATTACATGTAAAGATCGATTTATATTTGATATTTGAAATAAATGGTTTTTATTCATTCTCACGTACAATACTATAAAGGATGATGTGACATAACTGCTATCTGGGGCCCCTTTTTCCACGACGAATTATATTTAATCTACAACGATGTTGATAGTTTTCAAAACATGTGTGAATAAATACGACGCCTTTTGAATAGTTTCAGTAGTTCAGACACATTTTAACAATAAGGAATACTGCATTATCTTTGATTTTTTAGACCCTATCACAGCTAAATTCGGTCAGGTTTGTGCGAATATTTTCTTTTATGGCAAGATAATGGGCGGGTCTTAGTACAATAGAGGGATATGCGTGTTCGAGAAGACCTTATATGGTTATTGTTATTATTTCGCACTTAGTCATTGTCCAATCCGATGACAGAACAACAAAACATGCTGGCTTAGTACGTTTACATTTTATCGCAGACACGTGGTTTAGGTCAATTTACCTGTTATTCAAACTTTTATAATGGTCAGCCAATGCTGTTTATACTTAATAATACGCATGGATTTTCAGCATTTATGGTTTTAGGACAAGAAATGCACATGAAACTTGTATTCACCGATACTCGGGAATACGTGTAGACCTAGCGATTTGCTCACCAAACACGCTACAAAACTTAAAACTAATGCATTTCATGTATATTCTATCAATTGTTAGTAACTGTATATTAATTAAGGAATGTTTTTTTAGTTTTGTGTGAGTTATTGGTGTGTGAATCACACAGACTTGTCACGTAGGCATATTTCATGAAGCGCGCTAGCGCTTCATGAAAAATATGCCTATGTGCAAGTCTGTGTGATTCACACACCAATAATTCACACTAAACTGAAAAACATTCCTTATATTTACATTTTACCTGTTTGGAGGCAACTAAAATATGGACAATATTTGAATTTCTTGCTGTCCTATATTATTGCATTTTACTAACGTCGCTGCAGTCTCATTGTGACGTCACATTAACGCACGTTTCTCCGCGTATATTTCTACGCGTGAGTATACACGAAAATGTTCTTCAAATCAATTTCACAGTAATCTTACTTGACAAACACAGCGAATGTAAATATTTGGTAATGGTACATATGTAGATCCGTGTCTAATTTGCGACTCAAATGCATAAAAAAAATATCGGATAGCAGTAAAATTCCAAGCATGTTTCATAGTATTTTTGTGGTACTCACTCGTAACGAATTTCATTTAGCTGATTGGTCAGTTAGAAAGTATCGCTTGTGCCTCGATTAGCATATGAATTCATTCTTACGTCAGAAAACCTAGTTCCGTTGATCTGTTTATAATGGGAAAGGGCAACTAGATTTTACAATTTTTTAAAAAATAGCATGTGAGCGCAGTTAGGTACAATTTTCTCCTTTCACATATAGGTAGATTTCAATGAAATACAGTGACCAGCCAAAGGAGAAAATTGTACCTATCTGCGCTCGTATATTTTAAGGGCTTCAAAGAGTGGGGCGGGGTTAAAATGCAATGGGAATTGAATGTAAACATGATACCCCTACCCCAATCTAAGATCTATATCTTTCAAATCACGTTTCTATTTTAGTTAAAAATAGTATTCTATAAAGGTACACATATCTGTGATAAGTTACATAGAAAAATTTGAGTAAAATTTAGACATTTAATTTTTGTCAATATACGAGGAGCCGCAAGTCACCTCATCCTTTATTAGTGTGATCAAATTCCAAGAATTTAGATACTGTTTTGGGTATTTGTCATCTTGTCCTTTATACGGTCATTTTACTGGTAGCAAATCGGTTTGTTGTTTCATTCTAAACGCAATCTAGATCCTCAATTTTTTTAATATCCAGACTTTCCTGGTTGTTGTTTGATTTGTATTTCTAAGCTTTTCAAATAAGAGGTACCAAAATTCTCAGCTAAACGAATGGTACAGGAACAGAGATGTCATAACAACACGCACACACTAATTTTCCTATTTTTGAATTGATTTTTCAGTATTGAAACAAGTCCTTTTATGTTGCTAAAATTAGCTGATCGAAATTATTGTAGAAGTGTGCCTACAGGAAAATTCTACATTAAGTACAAGTGTGTAATAATGTAATCATTATTTGTTAATTTAAAGGTTTTTAATCTTAAATCAACAAATTGAAAATTGTCGTGCTTTATGCTTCATTAAAATTAAACAAACCATCCTGAGACATGATTTTCATTCATTTCATTTGCTTCAAATATAGGTCATTGTTTCGCTTCGGGAAATGATGTAGATATTACAAAAACATAGGGGTAGAATATTGAAGCATTAATTGTATTATTTTTGTCTTTTAAAATCCATCGATATACTTTTCTAGAGTATTTTAATAAACAAAAAAATGATACTGGCAAATATTCGTTACCGCTTACATCACTGTACATAATAAAAAAAATCAGCTTTTTTAAAAATTAGTTTTTACTCGTACAAATGGTTGAAATAAAAAAAAAACGCGTAAAGAATTCATATTTACGTGAATTCTCTAAAAAAATTTCAAGGAAAACATTAAATTTTATCATTAAGCATTATGTTATTAAACATTACCTGACTTCAGATAGTAATGGCGGGCGTCCTATCGATCCTGTTGCTAAATCGTAGTGTGCAGTGACCCAAATATTTGTGTATATACCGGCTCTTATTTTTTATTTCCGTTTTATGGTGGCATATTTCTACCCCTTACATGCAAAATAAATTATGTTTACATGCAATAAAATAATGTCAACATGTAATAAAATAATGTCAACATGCAAGATGATTATGTTGACATGCAAGTTACAAATCTTTTAAGAGAATCTGATTTTAATATAGGTGAAATCCTGTATATTAGCCCATATAATCTGACATCATAGATGCAATATGTAATATAATTATGACAAGATGCAGTTCACTTATATTGCATATATAGTCACTTTGTATAGAGGGGACAAACTGTTCAATGGACATAAGATTGCTTGAAAAAATCATATAATAAAGAACAACAAATGCTATTTGTCATATTCAGCCCTCTCTGCAAAGTTGTTCACATCAGTTCAAGAGATAGTATTGACTGTGACACTCAATTAAAGAAAAAGTTTTCGTTGGTAACCATACAACAAAGTCGCCTAGCAACGAAGCAAACATGGCAACAGCATCTTTTGAAAATCACTGCAATAATCATTTGAATGATATTAATTAATGGTCAGTAACAATCTGCATTACTCAATCTTGGTTAAAAAAACAGAACATAGTTTTAAGGAATGTATAATTATTTATTCAATGTTTTCCATAGCAACAACAATGGGCCCATGGGCCACAGCGTCCACCTGAGCACATTGGTTAGGAAGTAAAAGCAGAAATCACTTTAGTATTGAGAAGTTTACATGAGGGGGGGGGGGGGGGTCTGGAATTTTAAAATACCAACTACCTGATGATGCTTCCATACAACAAATGCCTTTGCTGCTTTTGAGCAAATGTTTTTTTCTTATTTATTCATTTAACCCCCCCCCCTCTTTTTGTGGCCCAGCCCTACCCCCGGAAGCCTTCATTTGAACCAGTAAGACTTTGTTCTAGCTGAGGATGCCTCAATATCAAAATGATAAACATGACGTTTCTGTTCTTGGGGAAAAAATTCCTTAATTCGAAGCAAAACTTTGATCTAAAATTGTGACCCACCCTACCAAACTTCCGTTCATGACTTTAACAAACTTGAATCAACTGCATGAGGATGCTTGCATAGAGATATGAACAATCATGGCTTTGTGGTTCTTAAAAAGAAGAGTTTTAAAAATTTTCTGATGTATATCTTCCTATGGAAAACTTCAAACCTCCATTGTGGTCCCGTCCTTCCCCCGGAGGTCATGATTTGAACAAACTTGAATCTACTGGTACACTACCTGAGTATGTTTTCACATAAGTTTCATCTTTCCTGGCCCAGTGATTCTTGAGAAGTAAATTTTCAAAGATTTTTAATATATATTCCTATATAAATCTTTGATCGTCAGTTGTGAACCCGCCCTTCCCCCGGAGGTCATGATTTCTTTGAAATTGAGTCTTCACTACTGAAGATGCTTCTACATGAGTTTCATCTTTCCTGGCCCAGTGGTTCTGAAGAAGATTTCTCCTGTATATTCCTTTGTAAAATCTCTTATCGTCAATTGTGGCCCCGCCCTACCCCCAGGGGTCATGATTAGAAGAAAATGGAATCTACACTACCTGAGGATGTTTTCACACAAGGTTCATCTTTCCTGGCTCAGTGGTTCTTGAGAAGAAGATTTTTAAAGATTTTTCCTAAATATTTTTATGTTGAACTTTGATCAGCCATTGTGGCCCCACTCTACTCGGGGGTCATCATTTGTACAAAATTGAATTTACATTACCTGAGGATGCTTCTACATGAGTTTCGTCTTTCCTGGCCAAGTGGTTCTTGAGAAGAAGTCGAAAATGTGAGTTTACGACGACGAAGACAACGACTACAACGACAACGACAGACAACGGACAAATTGTGATCAGAAAAACTAACTTGAGCGTTCAGCTCTTGCCCCAAGACCATAAATTAAGAACAGACTTAAGTCAAAATTTCAAATCTGTATAACTTTTGAAATAATTTTGATAACAAAACGAAAAAAGCTATTCAAAATCATAATCATAAGTCTATTCTCTGTTTATGGTCTTGGGCCAGGTGAGCTAAAAAAAAACCTCTAAGCAACCAAACATTAAAAATGATTTTTTTTCTAATTCAATTCCATTCAGCATGTAATTTTGATGTAAGTGAATAAGAATGTAATGTTTTATATAATTTATTTCTATATATTCTATATAACATATTCCATAGAAACCCATTTTATTCAATGGCAATCATATATTTCATTGTTTATTTGCCATAACAACTATGTATACAATATCTCTTTCTTTTTCAATTTTTAATTATAACATGAAAATATTTTGCCACTTTTTGTTTACTTGTACTAGCTAGAAAGGAAATTAAGAAGGAACATAAATCTATTTTCTTAACATGTGAAACAATGGAAAATTGTTTTTCCAATCATACACTGTATATGGAAATTATCATTATTACATATCAATTCAATTTGCAGTCATTTAATTATCTGTTTTAACAAATGTTTACAAATATGTTGGTCATTAAAAAATAATAACATATTGTTTAATCACACCGAATTGACATTGCTAATAGCAAAGTTACATACATGTATATACATGTATCATGTTAATGTCTAACAAATTAACTAAACCATATTCTTGTAAAATCCAACAATCAAATGAGACTTCATACATATTGTTCAAAAATTAAAATAGATTATTCAATTTCTACAATCAAAAACAAGGAGAGGTGTTTGCTCATCAAACATGTCCAAGTTATGAATAGGTACTTTCAAATAGAATTAAAATTACTGCTATTGTAAATGCAACATATATTAAAACTACATATGTATTAGCAAAATTCTCTGCAATAGTTAAAATCAAAGCTTGTTTTAGGATATAAAACTAAAGTATGAAGAATTTCGCTCCCCAAAGAATGAAAAAAATTATATCTGTCTTAATGTATGTACCATTTCTCAAATTCCAGGGATAAAGATACTTGTTCAGTACTACACCTTCAGTTCTACATAATACCTTCAAAGTAAACTTTTTTTCTGCATTAAATTTTGCATTCAAAATTAGATTGTCTTGACATTTATTTATAATAATAATAATTTTAACTATATTTTGAATGTTGAATCAGTAAAAAAAAAACGGTAAAGAATTAAAAACAGCACATTAAATTAACCTTCAAAACTGAGTTGTAAATGTTATCAACAGAAATAACAATTTAACACATCTGACATCTACACCTCTGGATTATCATCATTTCCACTGTCCATTTATTATGATGCCAAAATCATATTCCTAAAATTAAACAAATCTGTTTACAGCATAAAGCTATTTGTACACTTGTTCATGTAATGCTGTTATAGTGCAGTAATGGATTTTGCTGCTAAAATTTGATTTTCATTAATTTTTTGTTTCTCATTCGATGAATTTTACTGTCCCCAGGGTTGACTCAGTTTACAGTAAATGTAGCGGAGGAACTGTCCATCCTGGTCTATAATGTGGATGCAACAATTGTAAACATCGGCTATAAGAATGTTGCTCTGACTGTCTGTGGTGATTCCTCGTGGACTAAGTGCTATGGCATTAAGAGCATGATTTACACCTGTGTACCTAAATCTAAATTTTCCCGCCTGATTGACCACAACTACTGCCACAGTTCCACTATCAGACACACATGTACAGATATCCAAGTTTTTATTCTCAGAGATGTATTTTAGCTGCCCATGATAAGATGAAAAAAGGGAATTGCCCTTATCATCAAACTAAATAATTTGTTTCTGTACGGAACCATAGTAACGGACAACTCTTGATTGTTTGCTAGATTCATTCTCCATAGTAACAAGGAATCCACCAGAGGATGTGATGCAGACACCTTGAGGTTTCCAGTTTTGTAGTCTGATCATTTCCACTATATTTTTATCCTTAACTATGTTCACAGTTCCAAGACTGTAATCAGTATAAACTAGATTTCCACTATTTGTTACTGCTATGTCGGATGGTCTGTTCCCTGACTTAGTTGTGATTGATTTGAGTAGTGATCCTTGTTTAATGCTAAAGAGCTTCATGGTTTTGTCACCTCCAGTTGTCCATACTTCTTCTTCATTCTGGCAGGCCACTTGGAGAAGATTAAAAAAAATAGCAAGTGTCTATGGTGGTGATATTCTCTGGATTACGAAGCAGTTGTTTGACTGGCGTAGAGATGTCATCTTCTACTGATTTTTGAGTTGCCTTCATGCTGTATTTCTTTTCATGGAAAGAAGCTGATGACAAAACTCCGAAGAGCTCATTAAGTTTCTCTCTATTGATATTTCCTGGGATAAATTTGGGGAAAGAAAGTACAATTTTATTTGGTAATCTTCTATACTTGTTTACATTTAATGAACCACTAAATAACTTGGAAATATCAGAAGAATTGACAGCAAATTCAATGAAATTGATTCCTTCTTTGATTTCAAGAACTTTGTTTTTTACTTCATCCAGTTGATTCTGAAGAGTTTGTAACTGTGTGTTTTTCATCTCATCTACTTCCGCTTTGAGTTTCTTGACAAGTTCGTCAATTTCTCTGTGCCATTCCTCTCCATGTTTTGTTATTTCCATTAAGAGATCTTCATATTCCTTTTCCAACTGACTTATTCTATTTTGTAAATCTTTGACAATTTCCTGGTAAGTTGGAAAAATGTCCTTATTTAATTCACTTTTATTTTTCAAAAGCTTCTTTTCATCCAAGACTTCCAATATTTCTGATAATTTATGACCTAAATGTTGATAAGATGTGCAAACTGGAATGTCACACTGATTGCAGTACACTTTGCATCGCTCATTATCATGCGATGTACATCCAGGGTAAACTGGAGTAGAGTTTCTGTCCTTGAAATCAACAATTGTATGGGATTTTGAGAGATTAGAAGAAAAATGTTCTCCCACACATGCCTTACACAGATTGACAAGACATGTATCACAGTGCATCTGTACCACAGCGATCTCACACAGGTCACATCGCAACACGTCCTGGGAACTGGTATTAGGGTTCATTATTAAATTGTGTCCCTGAAAAAAAGAGTTACTGTATATTCAGCTGGTAAAAAATAACATTTGTGAATTTCATACCATAATAGACTATGTAATCTCAAAATTTAAACGAGTTTTCCGGATTGTTTAGCGTTCCATTGTGGAATCATATTTAAGAATAACATCTTCATTTAAAGATTCATGTAGCATGAATAATATTGGTTCAAAAACATCTAGAAAATAGAGTGGCAAATTCACTGGGTAGAGAATGAACGTGTTTAGCATGAATTTCCATTCTTCATTATATATTTTTAACCTTATCAAAAAGACAATATTTAAATAAATAACTAAGTAAATAACATTTATTTTGTATAGCATAAACCTGTGACAACAAGAGGACTGAACTTTGTATATACTTTTATCTTCTAGTAAATAGTCTGTTTTTGTTTGAAGTTTTAAGATATGGTGATTCAATTTTGCTTTAGTTTCATATACATGTACGAGCTAATAATAGGAATTATAATTATTTTTGTCCTTTGACTGTTGTTGTCGTTGCCATAAACTTATCATGATTATATTTTCAACTTCTTTTCAAGACTCTGTGGGCCAATATCAATCAAACTTGGCTTAGAAAATCCTTGGATTGAGAAACATGAAGGGCCATATTCTCTTCCAAGGGGAGATACATAAGAAATAGTGAAAAATGGATGGGCGTATTTTAAAATCTTTCTAAGAAGAACAGGACTAGAAATGATAATATGTGAAAACTTCCTGACGACATAAAACAGATTCAAATTTATTCAAATTATGACACCAATTGGTGCGGTCGGATCACAATGGCTATTTAAATTTTTACATCGAAATTAGGAAAGAAGGAAAAATCTGAGTTTCTGATTGACAATATCTATGTGCTTTATGTAACACCATAACACTATGCGTTTTATCCATAATTTATTAAAATTCCTATAGGTACCAATTGCGCCCCGAAATTAGCAGACTCTTTTTTTATTCACAGAAAGCATAATTTGTCAACAATATTAAACGTGAAAAGAAGAAGTACTTGTTGTGGCCTTAAACTCGTCAATTAACAATTTTTATTTCTATTCTTATTGCAATCCGATATCCCAGTGAGCATGAGATAAATGATAACATAGAGTCTGACATATTTGTTTCATATTTGGATATTTTACTTGAAAAAGACGTTTACTGTAATATAACAACAAAGCTTTATGATAAACGTGATGACTTTTAACTTTTCAATCGTCAACTTTCATTACTTATGCAGCAATATACCTTCATCATCTGCATACGGAGTTTATATCTCTCAGCTGATTCGATACGTAAGAGTATACGTATGTACAATACAAGGTAAATTATTGACAAACAAGTTGATAAAACAAGAACATTAGCAGTCTCGTTTAAAGTCACCATTTTGTAATTCTATTGTCGATACATTGACCTTGTTAGCAAATACAAGTTGGGGGGGGGGGCACAATAGGGGATCAAAGTTTTACATAGGAATAGATATATAGCTTTATTGATATATGTCGTAATATAAAATTCAAGTCTCCAGACCCCATGTAAACTTTTCAACTGAACTGATTTTTGCTTTTTTTTTCCAGCAAATGCGCTCAGGTTAGCAATGTGCTCCCTGGACATTTTGTTTCTATATTCTATATAATATGAAACAATATAAAAGATTCCCTAGGGGGTCAGGATTTAAACAATTTGAAATCTATACTTTCCAAGATGTTTCCACAAAAGTTTCGGTTTTTTCTGGCCAAAAGGTTCTTGAAAAGAAATTTGCCTCACAATATTTTTGTCTTTTGTTGATTATCTCCCTGGCCTTCGATCGTCGTTTCAACAATTTAAACTAATTTGATCAAAACTGAATAAACATATGAAATGATGTATTCTTGTCCTTCCTTCCCGAAATCAGCCATTTTAAAAAGGTGCATTCCAGTTATACAGTTGTTTTAATATTTGAACAATTAGATAATGGTTTAATAGGTAGATCATCTCAATTCTTGAGATAAAATTTCTAAGGTTTCAATTATTTATCATATCATTATATTGATACTTTTAGGAATTTGTAAATATTACCTTGCTTCTAATAGTTATGGCAGCCGTCAATTTGTTCTTTTTAGACAGAATTTAGATCACGTGGCCTACCAACAGGTAAACATTGTTTATACTGTAAGCTATTTATTATCTGTCTATGTGCAAAAAGGGATTTAAATCTGATTTTTTTTCTGCATTATCTGTATTCAACATCTTAAATAAGGATTGTCAAATGGAATTGATGAAATTTAAGCTACGCGATATACAATTTAAGGTAAGTCACTCGTCAAATTTGTTAAATCAAGGATTTTTTGGGAAGTATATTTTGGATAAGTACTCCTATAGTATGACTTAAAATCGCAGAGAAAATAGGGGGTCAGTGTACATCTTACTGATCTATGGTACAATTAAGTTGACCTTTTTGCAATTAAATGTTAACTCTTTGATTTAATACTTTATCTCTAATTTTATTTTATCATATGTTACTACGTTAATAAATTTAATCTTATCTTACATAAAATAGTTTGTATAATATTTATCATTGAACAAATCTTGCAAATTAATGCGCGTTTTTTTTTATTTTTGAACCTTTTTGCACTAAAAATTAACATATTTGGGGTATTAAAAAACTTAATAGGCAATAAAATATTTTCTTATATCAAGTTTTTTAGGAGTTAAGTGCTGATCAGTCACAAGTATCGAGTAGTTTAAAATAATGAAAGATAAAGTTGAGGTCAGTGATGTTAATTTTGAAATTTTGGTCAAAATATGTGATTTTCAGGCAAAAAAATTGTGCAAAGAACTATATGCGGTATTAACCAACATTTGCCCCCCCCCCCCCCCAAAATCAAACTTTGATGGAGTAATATTTAATTAAGTCCTTAAACAGGGGAGTATAAGCTGACTTCAAAGCACTAAATAATTTCATAAGTAATGACGTCATATGTACGCAATGACGTCACAAATATGACGTAAATTTCAGTTTTTTATGAATTTTGCAGAAAAATGTACATATTTCGTCGATATTTTAAATAAAAGTCACCGAGCGCATGTGTGTTCAGGATAAATATTTTGATATAATGTGTAGAATGATAATATCAATGAAATATGTCAATATTGTTCCTGAACACACATGCGCTCTATAAATTTTAAAGCTTAAATTGTTGAAATTTTGCCCATTTTGTCCTCTTTCTGAAAAAGGATATAAAATCGGACTAGTTTGTGACGTCATAAAAACAGAAATTGTGAATACACTGCTCTGGAACTATAATATTTTCTGTTAACGTATATTTCTCGTACAATTTATTGAATTCAGCACATTTCAGGAAGTTTTCAAAATTTGACTTTTGTGGGGGCAAACATATGCAATATACCGCATATAGTTCTTTTATCTTGACTTCTTTAATATATCTTCATTTCTTGGCAAGGTTTGTCGTGGGAAGATGTAAAACTTGTTCTAAAAATATAAATTAAGACCTATATTAAATATTCCTGCAAAATCATAACGGAAAATATTCTTCGAGTAAAAGTATGTGAGGCTAAAGTTTCAAGACATAATTTAATAAATGTGCAGATTTGCAGAAATTTCTGCTGAATATCCTTCAACCACAAGATATAGTCACTCATAAATCTTGCTTCTTTGTAGATTTATAAGCAGTTTTTTTTTTTCGATAAATGTTAAAAAATATACATTATTGATTATAAATATTTTATAAAAATTGAATCTTAATAAATAATTTAAGTCAGAGGTTCTGCGTGAACTTTTCTAAAAAGCTGACGAGTGACTTACCTTAATTACTTGTATTAAATCTCGTAAGAAATTCATTGTAGTTTAATGTTTTCGTAATTAATATTAAAAATCCATGATGTATACTGATATGAGTACCATATTAACATGTATCTGAACATGTACATATACAATGTAGCAGGTAGTCTATTTTAATTAATAATATTTATTATTTGTAGTTAGAAAGGGTATACCATTTCAACTACTGGATAGGTTGCCGCCCTTGTAAAATTAATGACATTAAATTAATTATCGTGTAACTGCATGAACTGTAGACGTATTTTTTCACTAGGTTATAATTCCTAGGAATCCCTACTTTTGTTTAATCCACGGGTAGAACGTTACACAGATTTTCGAGACTTTCACTTTATGTCTTACATGTCTATTAAATGCGATGGGACAAATGTCCGTGTACAAAGGTTAAATTAATACCAGGCGGAAAAAGTATTTCTAATTTTTATAAAAAGAAAAAAGAATTACCACCATAAGTTGATATCATTAGCGTTCTATGGCAAACAAGTGAAATATTCTAGTTTTATCTCCTATTTTATCGATCTTTTTTTGCTTTTTGAGATAAAAAAAAACTGTTTACATGATCATGATAAGCAACCAGCCCTTGATCTGTCGCTGTTGTTGTTTCCTTCTTCTCCTAAACTACTTGGCTTATTTCAACCAAACTTGGCACAGAATATTCTTAGATAAAGGTGATTCAAGTTTGTTCAAATAAGGGCCACTCCGTCCCCCAAGGGGAGAAACTTATAGCAAAAAAAGGCATTTTTGAAAAATATTCTCAAGAACCAGTTGGCCGGGAAAGATGAAATCCATGTGACATTATTGTCAGATAGTGTAGATTTAAGTTAAGTCAAGTCATCCACTCAGAGGTAGGGTGGGACTACAATGGATGATCGAAGTTAATGCATAGGAATATACAAAAATCTTTTAAAATCTGTCTGTCTGTGAATGTCTAGGTGTCTGTCTGTCCGTCTAGCTGTCTTTCTGTCTGTCTGGAATACTTTTGTTTCCGCAAGATATCCCGAGAAGCCCTTGAGCGTTTGCAATGAAATTTCACAAAACAACTTTCTATAGCATAAGTTCAGAGGTCAACTTAATAAAATGTGAGCCAATAAAAAATGATACATGTTTTCACACTCAAAGATTATTTTTCTGATGAACCAAGAATTTAATCCAGACAACTGTCTTCAGTTTTCGCCAATAACAACAGGACTGTTTATATGAATCTAAGTGTGTCGTGCATTATAAATGACTTTTAAATCTTAATTGTTTTTAAAAAATAACTTGGAAGCCAATCAATACAACATTAATACATTTAAGCAAAAACTGACCATTCTGAGTAAATATTTCATAGCTACAATAAAACAACATACGCCGAAGGGGCCTCTCAGGTGATGAAATAAAACCAAAAAATGTTGCTAAATATATGCCTATATATATCATATAAATTAGTGTTGGCAAATCGGACGATTTTTAGTAACCGGTTACTCGCTTCATCTTCCGATCGAGTACCCGGTTACTCGGATGATTTTTCGTAAAAGTATCCACATCTTTTATTCATCTTAATATGCTTTACTTATCGGTAGTACATTTGTAGTAATACTCAAATGTACTGTATATGGACATTATATTTACAATACACACATACGATATTGTCAACGAATTTTGAATTAAAGAAAATAAGGAATTTTACACACCAAGAAGACAAATACAGACATCGTCAATCACCGTCTCACAATTGCTTTCCTTATGCTTTCCTTATCTACATTCTCCGTAATTAATAGTTAATTTGTTGAGATTTTGAATCAACTGTTTTTTCTTACAACTCCAAGCTTAATTAGTCTGTGGCGGCATTTCGTTAAATTATCAAATGAGGTAATCATAACTCAGGCCTTCACAAGTTGTATACCCCAAGCAATCAAAGCTATTAATTATATAAACTGTGAAAACTAATCAAAACAATTTGATCCACTACAACCATGTATTACATCAAGTCTAACGGTACCTAAAATTAGGGAAATATGTAAGTATATGTACATTTATAAATCATAAAACAATCATTTTTTATTAGAGATGTCAACGAATAGTCGACTATTCGACTGTCAGTCGAATGGACTGACGATCGATAATGAAACAACATTCGAATATTAGATAAAAGCAAGAAAAGGGAGTGATAATGGAATTTTCATTTCAAAATTGAAAAGCGTCCTTCCTCAAACTATACAGTTGCATGTATAGTGTATCTCTTAAGACGAATAAGAGCTCAAACACAGTCACAGTATATCAATAATTTTCCGCACTGTACATATGGAAAATACAGTATATTACATACCGAGGTAATTATTTCTCAATCACTGACTTTTTTGTTATTGTACGTAGTAAATTATGTAACGCTATACTGGACTATGAAAATTATTTAATTGACTTGCGCCAATTATATTTATAAAAAAAACTCTAGGAATTTCAATTGCTTAGGAACACACTATATTTGCATAACCGTGAAGTTTTAAAGTTCGATAATTATTAAAACAGAAATCTTACATAAAAGACATTTTGATATATAGCTTAGGCAATCATTAATTGAACAAACATTATTTAATATTTTCATCGGAGGTGTGGATAATGTGTGTTTACAATTCCCCATTTCCAATTTATTTCAATTTTCCAATTCATTTTAATTAATAAGCTTTCAAAAACACTTTGTTATCAAAAAAATAATAAATGCTCCGAAAAGTCGACTATTGTTCGGATAATGCAATCGAATGTTCGACTAAAGAAAATTAATATTTTGACATCCCTTTTTTATATGCATTTACTATGTAGATTTTTTTCATGCGAGTAACCGAATAGCAGTTTTACTAACCGATACTCGCATCGTTCGACGGTTAACCGGTTCATCGGGTACTCGTTGCCAACACTAATATAAATCGATCAATAACAAAAATTGTAAATTAATTAAACAACAGGGTGGAAGAGGGTAGAGTATGGGAAATGCAACCAGTCTCGACAAAAATATAAATTATTAAGAGGATGCTGAACAGCTATTGGATGAAACTATAATAAAGAGGCCAATGATAGATTACATTTGAAGTACATAAAGCATAAAACATAAATTTATCTTTAAGGATATCCGATCCTCAGCCAGGAAGGATAACTCCAAAAATTAATATTTAATTTGAAATGTATTAAAATGAAGCATAGGAAAGAAATTTTTTCATGCAACAATTTTCATTTCACTCATCTTTAAGATACAAGGTATTTAGAAGTCTTAGAAAAGGTCTTATAAAAGTTGACATTTGTACTCTATAAAAGGGAAAAATAATACAGTTATAGAGATAAAAGATTTTCTTGAATCGAGCCTTAGATACCAGTGCTTATTAGCATAATATGAAATAAAAAGTGTTTTATGGTGTCTTGCAATGATAGCAAAGGCCTTTTACACTATGTATTATAAAATACATGTCGGAAATAGAAAACAAATAACCAAATAAGTATAACAATCATGATACTTTCTCTGAATGCATGAATACCTATAGTTTTTTAACCTCAGATATATGTGCTGATCAATTTGCAATTAGAAAATGCATTGCTGATATTCCAATTCGCTTTTTCTGCAAAAATATTGGAAAATTTGACAATTGTACCTATATAATATGATTAACTTTATTCTTTAACTTTAAAGAAATACTGTGGATAAATTTACATAACTTCATGGTTTCATAGATTCTTTTATGAGTATTGTGATTACTTAACTGCTAATTTTATAAACCTGAGGATCGGACTACCTTAAGTAAAACCAAAACATTCACCCAGTAATGATGAAACACAAACAGAAAACGTGGCCAAAAATTCTGCCACAGAAAAGGTGTAGCCTGGAAAACCAAGTTTGATCGAATGTCTTGACAAAAACTATTCACCATTAATACACACTTTTTTCATTGTCAAGGTTTCCATACTCATAAAATGAGAAATATTTTATGATAAACGCATGTGTTTTAATTATTACAAAGTTCTTTTTTTAACTTTTGTTTTGAAAAAATATTAACGATATAAGTCACGAAAAAGCCCGGGTTTATTTGCATCAAACATTTCCATCCTTAAGATAAATTACTGGCTAAATAAGTTATTTCTCTCATTCTAAGCTTTTGATTTTGAGGGGAGAGAAAAAGTGATCACGCAACTCCTCTTATGCCATTGAATGAAATCTGATGAAACTTTCACAGAATCTTTATTACATATTGCCATTGTGCACCTCCTATTTTACTTTTTGATCCGACACATATTTTGGGTTTTTCATAGTAAAACATGGACACTGTCATTTATACACACATGGGAGGCGGGGGGTATCATTTAGTGAGCCCATTGCTCACAGTACCTCTAGTTAAAATCAGCTATAAGGATGTGGCTTTGACTGTCTGTGGTGATTCCTTCCGGATTGAATTGTTTCTTTTCCGGTGCAGGAGTATGTCCAGTGTACCTGAATCTCAATGTCCCAGTCTGATTGACCACCACTACTGCTCTAGCTCCACTGTCAGACACACAGATATTCAGGTTCCTGTTCTCATCGATATGTGTGTTTTGAAAACGACTAGCAGAATACAAAGGTTTTCATGCATTATCAAACTGAATCGTTTGTTTCTGTGTGAAGTCAGTGTAACGAACAACTTTTGATTGTTTTTTGTCATCACTGGTCATAATAACCAGAAGATCACAAGAGATACTGCTGCAGACACCAACAATTTTCGAGTTCTGAAGTCTGATCACCTCTTCTATCTCTTCATTCTTCACGATTTCCACTGTTCTGCAATCATTCTCTGTAAAAACTAGATATCCATTTTTTGTAACTGATATATCCCTTTGCATGTTCGTATTCCCTGACCTGGTTCTAATTGTCTTCATTTTTGAAAATAGCAGATTGATGTTGTAAAGTTTCAAAACGTTGCATCTCCACTTGTCCAGATTTCGTCATCACTCTGACAGGCCACCTTGTTGATATATTCAAACCCAGTATCTATGATGGTAACAGTCACTGGTTCATCAAGTAATTGTTTACGAGGAGCAGATTGTCATTCTTCTCTGGTGATGGAAATGGTGATGATAAAGCTTTACATGCCTCCGCTGTCTGCATTTTTGGGATACATTCTAGGGAAAAAGAAAAAAACGGAAGCTCCTCATCGCTGCTTGTCCTGACGTTTTCACCAAAGTTAAAGTTCACGTTGTCAAGGTATCCATATTCAGTATCTATGGGTTTTATAGTTTCCATTCCCACGGGCGATTGCTTGACTGGAGTAGAGGATACATATTCCAGTGACTTTTGTGTTGTCTTCATGATGTATTCATTCTTTTGGGGGGATGAGGAAGTTAATAATAAAGTTCCAAACAGCTTTGAAATTTGCTCTCTATATTGAGTTCCTGTGAAGAAACTAGGTAAGGAGAGCAAAATTCTTTTTGGTAGTTGATTATATTTGTCTTCGTTTAATTGAAAACTACATAGTGTGGAAATGTCCTTAGAATCGACAACAATGGTAATTGAATCGATTTCATCTTTGATTTCAAAAATCTTCTTGTTTATTTCATCCAGCTGTTTCTGTAGAGTTTGTAACTTTGTGTTTTAATTTCATCAACTTCAGCTTTAAGTTTCTTGACAAGTTTGTCGATTTCTCTGTGCTAGTCCTCTCCATGTTTTGTTATGGCTGTTAAGAGATTTCCATATTCTTTTTCAAATTGAATCAATTTGTTTTGTATATCGGAGGCAATGTCCTGGAAGGGTGGATAAATTACTTCATTTAGTTTAGTTTGATTTTACATAAATTTGCTCTCCCTTTCATTCAAAATTTGCGATATTTCTGATAATTTATGACCTAGATGTTGATCAAATGCAACACACTTCGTGCAAAAAGGAAAGTTACAGTGCTTGAAGTACATTTTACATCGCCCTTTATCATGAGATGTGCACCAAGGGTAAAGAGGGGTGGAGTTTCTGTCCTTGAAGTCAACGATTTTATGAGGTTTTAAGAGATCAGCAGAAAAGTGTTCTCCCACACAGGCCTTACACAGGTTGACAAAACATGTGTCACAGTGCATCTGTACCACAGCGGTCTCAAACAGGTCACATCGCATCAAGTCCAGGGCACTGGTACGGGTGTCTATGATTAAACTTTAAACTCTGAAATATATTCATATTTTATGGTTATTGATTTACTGTATGAAAAATGTGGCGCTTTGTGAGATTATTATTAAGATTAAATTAACAATCTCTGAGACATATTTCTTTTGATTTGGTTCAAATGTAGGTCATTGTAATAAATTGTAAATAACTGGGAGAATAATTCATGCAGATATTACAAAAACACGACATATGGGTAGAATATTCCACCATTTATTGTATCTACATGTATTTATAAAATTTTGTTAAACCTGTCAACAGATATTATAAAAAAAAAAAAATATTCGATGCCGGCTAATATTCCTTACTGGTAACAGCCTTTTTTCTAAATCGCCTTTACTACAATGCCTAAGTTGTAAAGTTTCTTGAACATATGGTTACATGAATACTTAAAATCAAATTTTCAATAGAAATACTAAAACTTATCATTATGCAATGTTACAGTAGCATTTAAAGATTACCTGACTTGAGATAGTAATGGCGGGATTCCTGTCGATCCTGTTGCTATATATATTAGTTAAGATCTCTGAGTATTGGGTGACCAACATATCTGTGTTTATACCGGTTGTTTTTTTTTTTAATATTCCTTGTAGAAGGAATTAAAATTATGTTTACTGCTTTCAATTTGTTATTGATAAGTCTCGCGTTATTTTTGCTGCCACTTATTCGTGGAAATTAAGAGAAGATTCAATATTTGTAAAAATAATCATTAGTTCTGTTGTATTAAATTTTTCAAGAAATTCTATAAAAATGAGTTATAATTTATGATAAGAAAAAGAATGAAATCTATCTCTAGTAAGATTGGTTACATTCATTTAAGAAATAAACAACGTTATTCAGTGAACATGGCGTTATGAATAGCAATTGTTCTGCTGGCATATTCCATGATGCGCGCTAGCGCATCATGGAAAATATGCCAGCAGAGCTATTGCTATTCATAATGCCATGTTCACTGAATAATCGTTGTTTATTACTTATATTTGCATTCTTTGAGTTTTTCAAGAATATCAGAGGAAATCCTGACTTACATAAGGACGCAGCTTCTTGTCTTTAGTAATGAAAAACATACGGCTTTAAAATCACTACACCTGATCAATGATCCTCTTCTCTAATAAATCACAAACAATTTATTAAGTATTTCCCTCTCAAATACAGTTATCTATCTGGATACAAGCAGCGCCGTCATCACATTCTCTTAATTTTTGTTTTGATGCAGTTGTGACGTCATCGATCAACGTTATTGAAACCCTCTGACAAAAATCAATAATTTAAATCTATGATGAAAAATAAGAATGCTTTTATAATGATTATTACTACAGAATTCTTTTCTATGATTTTTTTTTTAGTTTTTCTATTTATTTTTAATAGCTGAAATCATTCTTGAAGTCTTCTCTTTCTGAATGTTATTACCCAAGTGTGAAGAGTTATCGTTCTTTGTACAAATATGCATGATACGAAAAAATATAAATATAGCCGTTCTCTAAATTTTTAAAAAGTTTTATTATTCAATTAAATACATTGACCAAAATTAAATTTTTAAAGATATGAATCAGCAATTTTAAATATTCTGAATTTCCTTTTTTTCAAAGAATATGATTAAAAACTTATTTTTATTCCTCTCATGAAACATTTCATATATATACTTCTCAACACGGTATATAAGAGTAGTAGAGATTGTTCTACACAAGTGAGATATAGAGCAATTGCACTTATAGCAGAAGCAGTTGCGTCTATAGTGCGATGAACGCAGTTGAAGCATGCAGGTTCATAGTGGGAGAGAGCAATGGATATGCAAATTATATATTTTTATGCATGTAGACATAATTACGTTCATTTTGACATATTTTTCTTGCATATTGACATAATTTATCTTGCTTGAAGGGAGCAGAAATATGCCAATTTTATACAATGCAAATCTCAACTGCAATATCATGAATTTTCGGGTAGCTTAAAAATTAGATAGTTTAATAATATTTAAGATATTGAGATTTGACTGTATATTTATACATAAAAGTGATACATAACTGTCAATGTATGCAATAACTAGATGTATTTTATCATGATAATCAAAATAACTTTTGTTTTATTTATCTTTCTACATGTACTTCCATTTTGTCTCCTCTGTTCAGCCAATAGAACACAGCAGGCCATACAAAATTTTGACTTTTAAGTGGAATTTTCTTAATTGCATGCCTTCACCAGTGAGCAAACGGCCACGCTGGAAAAGACAGACAGTATCATTCTATGGAAACTAAAATAACTGGCTCCTCATACTGAATCTGTCGCTCAGTTTAGGATAGGTCACATCTACATATATCTCATATAAACTTGGATTGAAGAAAATGTGCATGCCATCATGTTTTGCATCTTAATTTCTTGATGTCTGAAGCAGAATTTTGAAAGCAATTTTCAATCAGAAAGATTACAATTTCAGTTCTCATATAAAGTTTTATAAAAAGTTTTTATTACCTAGGGCTATTGAAGGTCTCGCATATGTCTTATCGATGTATAATGAAACATTTGCTTTTTTTATTTGTTGTTTAATTTGTTGTTGTTTTAGTTGATAAGTCAATGTGGTGTACTGAACAGATAAGATGTTGGACTTCTTAGAACGGAATTTGAAATATCTGGCCATTTATTGTCAGGAATAAAGATTAAAACTGTGACAAATCGTGAATCAAGTATATAGTAGAGACAAATCCATAAGGCTGAGATAGATAATTATCATGATTCATTTCTTGTCCAACTTGTGTAGTAAAGAGCAAGGATACAGAAGATAATACTTGTGTACATTCTTTTTTGATGGTGATTTACTGAGTAATTTCATTTTTTTATTGCCACTCTGTCGTTACAAAATTCATTCGTTTATAAATACCATTGTCTACACAAAACCAATAAAATAGAATTCAAATGAATTTATGCATTGCACTAATGGCAACAAGCATTTAGCATTTTACAGATGCTTTTTTTCTTTTTCCTTTCTGACATCAACATGATTTAAAGTTTTTAAAGTGTTATACAAGTAATGTTGACTCAAGGATGAAAAAGAAACACAATGTTCAGTGCTCTTAAGTTTTTATGAAAAATATTGTAAATTTAAAGTAAATGTAACAAAATATAAAATGATTTGAAAAAATAATCACAGGTTGTATGAAAATGGCAACATTGAATTGAGAATTGCACTAAATTGTCTTCTTCCATATCTCGCCTACACGTCTCCATCATGACGGTCATGTGATATACTGATGGTTTCAATTTGATGACAACCAATTTTTTCTCCCAAATGCTTCATACTGTTCAGAAGTCTGTAATTTAGAAGATACAGAAATTATGAGCAAATAATGCCACTGATATTTATATCATTTTTAAATTCATCAACAGTATACATGATTTATGTCAAAAGTTCTGATTACGATTCTTTAAAGTAGGTATATGCCTACCCCTAATCTATCTCAAAAAGTTAAGTAGTATCCTGAATGTATGCTTGCTTTTAATCAAATGTTCTCTATAGTTTATATTTTCATAATTCACAATAACTTGTTAAATTCCTGCCCCATATGGTGCACCTCATTTTTCTATCATCATTTAACACTTAAAAAATCGTCTTCAAAAAAAAAAGAATTCTATGTATAGAAATTTTTTTTCTTTAAATATTATTTGTTTTCAGCAATAAGACAATTCATTTCTCGTAAGACCT